CCGAAATCAACTTCTAACGAAGATATTAACGTTTTTATTTCGCACTGATTACGAGGAATTTGAACTGCCCGCTCACAAGAAACTCAAAGCTCTACGTAAGTCAAATCGCGCACTACAACGGTTTCAGCAAGCTTCTCAATCGAGCAATGTTCATTTTCCACCATGTGTTGTTCAAACTATTGGTAATTTGCTATAGCTGAGCCAAAGTGCGATTGAAGTTGAAGATTTTTACATCGCAGAGACTGTCATGATAAACATTTAGCGCGCGATGTGAATCACGTAGAGCATTGAGTTTTCATGAGCGGGTGGTTTGAATTCACGCATCAAGAATCATTAAATATCTTCGTCAGGAGTTGATTTTGGTAATTTTCGTTGTGCGTATCGTGTTTTACGTGAAATTTTGGTTGAGAAACATGTATCAGAATGCTGAAATTCGTACCTTGTCTAGTGGTCCATTGTATTCAGCAAATGGATAATTTTAATGAAGAGTTAAAAATAAACAAGCGGTAAGGAATATAATTAAAAAATGGGAACTCAAATCAACAATTACTTTAAAGGTACCAAAAAAGTTTCTGATTTTTGCTGCTTATGAGGTACTAAACTTTTTAGAAAGGTACCGAAAAAGTAGTGTAAATATACTTAATTTTTGCCAGCGGGGTTTAGTAGATAGCCTGTCTCGAGAATTGTAATGCATATTTTTCCTTCAAATTTTCAGATAAGTACTTGGAGTAGAGAATTTGCAGGTCTCTGAAATTTGATGAACTTTTCGTTACAGTGGAAACTACTGAGTGAACTGATCACGAGGATACCCTTGGTTCACGAATGGAACAATTATCGGAGAAGATAGGACAAAATGATCTAATCTGCTAAAATACATGTGTTTAAGTGGGATGACGTCACCAGGCGGTGCATTTTCTCACTTTTGAATAAATTTTTAGACTATTTCCCATTACAAAAAAAAAATAAAAAACAAAAACTGCGAAATCAGCTCTTTGAGCACTCTCAGACGGAGCAATAAAAACTTTGCGTGCAAATTCTCCATTGAATTGAAATTTTAATTACCCAAAACTGCGGGAGGGAAATATTCATAATCATCGCTGAAAACTCGTGTTTTATCTAAGAAATCCGGCAACTTCTGGAGGTTCATACGACGTTTCTCCGCAGCACGGAAGGATATCACTCTGAAACATTTTAGATCGGGTTAAGATGATCGGATATACTGGAAGTGACATTCCACTTCTTCCTCGAGGGCCAAGCATCCCAGTTGATTCGCGTATTTTGGCAAACGCGGTTTCCATTCATACGCCAGCGGCAAAATTATGGGTACGTTTTAGCTTGGCCCAACGCCAGGCTCCAAGTGGCATTGTCTCGTCGCACCCGATGCATTGCCAACCCACCGCTAAGTTTCCTGAGCTAACCAATGGTAAATGGAAGTTTTAATGCCGAAAGGCAACGCCATAATGTTCACCTACATTCCCTCTAGAGATGCATAGTCATTATGTAAGTTCACCGGCTTCCGGATCAAGTGTACAGTCGTGAATTATTATCTCTGAATGGGATTTGGAAACCTTTATTTATTGCCAACATAAAATGTTAAATAATTGCCGCAATGTCTCAGCCGTGACCTGGTACCAAATCCCATTGATAGTTCATAGGTGGAATATTATCGAACTTTAATTCGAAAGTTAAGACTGGGTTACCGGTATAATTCATAATTCAATCCTAATTTTCGATCTCATTTTCATGAAAATGAGACTGACTATTCAATGTCGCAGGTCTCACTGTTTTATTCATTTCTTGTCACGGAGGAAATTTCCTCCAAATAAATTGTAGCGGGTGCAAATTATTTAAAATGAGAGAGACAATTTTTAATCTTCTTGTTTCAAGATTTGTCATTTTTTTGTCGAAATAAAATTACGGTAGTGCAAATCAATGGGAATTTCTGAATGAGAATGTCACCAGAAAAGAGTTTCCACGCCCTGGGTCATTCAATTCATTCATGCCGCGAGGTCCCATGGCGACTTCTTGATTGGAGTGCCGCTTTCTAATCTCTCAGGACAGGGACTTTCCACCGTAGAACTGAGTAGCTGAAAGGATATATACTAAGAAAACCACTATAATGCTCTCAGCCGTAGACCAGACAAAAAATAATAAAGCTGAGTGTGCTTACTGACAGAGAAGCATGGAAGCTAGGAACATTTGACATCCTCTCCACAAAAATCTCAACAGAAACTATAAACAAATTCTTTAAACATGCGCATACTTTACTCAATTACTCTTTAATAGTCAAAGTGTCGTAAAGAGGATTGCTTGTTAAACGACACTTGATTAATTGATTGATAGTTCCTTTGATTTTATGCCACTTGCAAGAAATATCGCATTTTGCAATGATTCATTGACTTACAAGGCATTCACGCTATTATTCCCGGGAACGCACTGACGCACGGTGTATAAAACGCCTTCATTTACGTAGAAGACCACTTGAGCACCTCAGAGCACGTTTAGTTGCTTACTGCCCCTTAGCTCTGCTAGCTACCGGAACAAAAGCCCATTTTCCCATCTCCATTTGTAATGCGCCTCATTGCCATGATGTTTACAAATTTTACTGTACGTGTACGTGTACTTTAAAATTTTCGAAACCTGCATTTTTTATTCTGTGATGGCTTGCATTTTTAAAACTGGCAATCTTAAATCCCTCGCAAGGATCTAATTTCAAAACTGCACCGTCAAATGTCACTCGATGTTTAGGGAAATTGTATTTTAGGCGCTCAGTCGACATAGAGCGTTTTATTATTTCAACCTGCCTTTAAAATTCTAATACAAAAATGAAAACGCGTTCAAATGGCGTGTCATCTCAACCAAATGAAGGCGAAGAGAGGCCTAACATGTTTAGAATAGATTAGTCTGTGATACATTTATTTAATGTTTCTGATGTCAAAACACGGAGGATGATATTCGTTTTTCTATAGTCTATTTTTTATCGGTAGTGTAGTTTCTCAAAGTTGATAGTTGAAATTTTGGTGTGTGAGTTTTTTCATCTCAATGATGCTCGTCCTCTTCGGGGAACTTAAAAACGCGCCTACATAGAAAACAGCTGAGCGCTTCTCTAATAATTCTCTAAGAACGTATTTGATTGTGAGCATTCTCGCGTGTTTTATGTTGCTGCGTCACACGGTCAAATTAAACCAGTTGGAGCCTTCCTCAGGAAATAAACTATGGAAAGAGCGACTATGCCCTAAATCTGGAATAAAGAAAAAACCTAAATGAAATCCCTTCTCATGCAACGCAGATTGGCGGGAGGCACAGTCCACCATCTCAGCTTTTGCCTTGACGCTCAGCCGTATTGCTAACAAACCACCCTGAAATGACATTTTAATGACAATGCAGTAACATTATAACCCCCCGTTTTATGGCTTCACCATAAATAAACCCATAAACGCCATTAATACAATCGAGGCTCGTGATTTGACACGTCTCGCGTCTTAAGGGTGACCGTTGCCAGGAGCTTTTGGAGATTTTATGATTATGCGACTGCTTATGACGACGCGTGCTTGACCAGCCTATGCGAGTCTTCTTGCTATGGATCTTTTGAGCTTATACAGGGTATTTTTTAAACTGAGTTTAATAGTATTATTATGTTAGTACACATGTTTTCCGATAACAGGTGCTGCTTGATAACATTTTTTTTCAAAGAACGGTTACCTTACAATTCTACATGTACGAGTACGTGCATTTTTAAGAATCAGTATTCACGGAATCAAGGAAATTCGTTGAATATACAGGGTGTTTCAAAAGTCCGCACACTCCACTTACTTCTAAAATTTACTCTAATTTAGCTATTGAGACGAAACTTGGGGAGTGTATATTCCAAAATCGCTACTCAGCAAATTTTTTCAACCCAATTGCGTATGTGTAGACGCGGCGACCTAGCAGAAAATAATAATATACAGTAAGTGTTACGAGGTCGGCATTGATGAGTGTTTCCAGACTACAAGACTAGCTTTGAAAAAACGAGGATTATAAATACGTGGCGTGACGTCTTTTGGTTAAATCGACAGAACGGAGGAGCGAGAAAGAGGAACCAAGCAATTAAACGCGCCCTGAGGTGCTCACATGGTATTCTCCGTAAATGAAGGCGAGTTTTCCACCGAAACTATCAATAGCAAAACTACATCTTTTAAATCGCAAAATTTAAATCATCATAACTTCAATTAGGTTGAACATATTTGGACGCTTTTCTGCTAAATGTTTGCGCAATACTTCACAAAGCAGTGGATACAATACTTGAATTTTAAGAATCTCGCGGGTAAGAAGACTCTTTTTTCCGGAAACTACCACAATTTGAATAAAAAAAGAAGAATAGAAAAATAATTTTATCTAAGTTGATACTGATACTTTTCGTATGACTTCTCTTCAAATATCTTTCAAAGAAGGTAAAAATTCACTTCTGAACGAGTGTAGTATAGTTCAAATTGTATTGAATACGACAGAGCTTTGCCAATTCCTAATAAATTACCATAAGCAGCATACTAGGTTTTAGTACCTAGTTCACTTTAAATACTGATTTACAACTAAAAATAAACTCGACAGTGGCGACGAGTAGGGAATTCAGATATCATGTCTCAGCAGGAATCTTTAAATCAGTTCCTCCTTTAATGAACTTGAGTCCTCTCCCATTTACCCATGCAGGCAAAATCGGTAGATGACAAATTTAAGAAGGAAAAACGGAAGCATCAGGGTTGTTACAGTCAGGGAATACCGGGATTTGTCATGGAATTTTAAAAAGTCAGGGAAAACCTGGAAATGTTAGGGACAATGACAAAAGCGTCAAGGAAAAATTGTCAAGTCACCTTTAATTGCTTTATAGAATGGGCTTGATCTTTCAAACAACAAATTTTGGGTAAAAATTTTTTCAAAGTATGTCTTAAAACCGTCTGAAATATCTGCAATCATCAGGGAGTTTTACCAAAATGTGACCGGGAAATTAGGAAATGTCAGGGAATTCATGCATTCAAATTCTATGGCAACGTTGATGTATGCCTTACAGGAAAATTTTAAAAATTCTGATCCTTATCGTCGTATACTATGATGTATTCGAACCCTTGCCATCATGCGATTGCAATGTTTCCAACCCACTATCTTGCGATGCTTTGGAATCACTGCTGTCCTGCGACTTTAGTTTCCTGGAATCATGACTATCGTATGACTGAGGCGTATAATTAACCTGCGAGGGTAGGGGTCGAGGCTTTTTAGATTTTTTGGATCGCTGAGGAGTGGCGTGCTTATCCTGCAATCTCTTGGGCAGGAGTCTCCGCGGAATCGAAGAAATGAATCTATCGGTAAAATCTCTACCCGGACAAATGTCCAAGAGCCACTTCTTGATCTTTTCGATCCGGTTTCGCGAGAGGGTCCGCGGCAAGTGAGCAGGTATATCTGAAGGGACCGGGGGTGATAGCGTCGGTTCGTCTGGTGGTGGCCGCGGTGGGGGTGACCATTGCCGCTGAAGAGGGGGGTCGGGTTGGACGACTCTGGGACGCTCGGGAGACTGTGTCCACGTCGGTGATGGTGGATGTGGATGCGAGGGTGGTCGTTGTAGAGAGGATTGACGAGAATGTGGTAAAGACGACTCTGGTGCCTTCGGCCGGAATATTTCAGGCAAGTTGTCAACTGGGATTGCCTTAACGTGATCTTCGTTGATTTCTTTTTCACACAGTGTGCTGAGCCATTTCTGTATCTCTTTTAACCGCTCTTCCTCGTCGTCCGTGTTGATGTCGGAGGAGTCCAAGAACCTCTCCCAACGTTCAGATTGGCAACTGTGGAAGTAACAGAGACTATGATTGTATCGTAGAGACATGGAACGACAAGTTTTCTCACCGTTTAATTTTTTTTTTATTTTTTTTTATTTTTTATTTTTTTTTTATTTGCTTTCTGATTAGTTGGTATGGATAGGGTATGATTCATTAAAGGTATTCATCTAGTCTATATGTCGCAGGCATATAGCTATTTCCGACAAAGAGTCATCTGCTTGGGCTAATAAGAAGCGAAGCAAAATTAACTGTGGCTGCCAAGGCAAGCAGTAAGTTGCCTAGGCACACAGCAAGTTGCCTAGGCATACAGCAAGTTACCTAGGCAAACAGCAAGTTGCCTAGGCACACAGCAAGTTGCCTATAGGCACACAGCAAGTTGCCTATAGGCACACAGCAAGTTGCCTATAGGCACACAGCAAGTTGCCTAGGCAAACATTCAGCCACCTTGGCAAATTACAATCTGCCTAGGTATAAACATCGATGATTGTTATTTGCCGGAAATGACCATATGCCTGCGACGTATGCATTGTTAGGAGGTGCAATTCCTTCGGCTCCAAATGTGTCCCTATAGTCGTGATTTTCAGCAATTTTCCCCCTGAAAATGTCACTTCACTTCTTATGCCGTTTCATGTGCGTGGTAATTTTTTCGTTAGAAAATGAAGTTTAAATTGAAAAAATGTGCAAGAATGAACCTACTCGCAAAAGAGGGCGGAAAAAATTAAATTGCTGATTTAGCAATTCAATTGCTAGAAAAAGTGACCGCAATATTTCAATGTAGATTTTACAATTAAAAAATGCTACTCTACCACCCCTGTGGTTAAATCAGCTTACGATAGTAGTTGAAGTAGCATTTTTTTTGTCGTGAAATCTACGTTGAAATACTGCAGTCACTTTTTTTAGCAATTGAATTGTTAAATCAGCAATTTAATTTTTTCCGTGAGCGCATTGCCTCTCGCCTACTATAGATGAGATGACTTGTTCCGCGTGAAATTACACTTCTAGTCACAAGTGCTATCGTTAATTGTATAGGTTCATTCATGTTCACCAATATACGGTCCACAGCTGCCTGGATAGCGGACATTGGCAACCCTTTGCGGTGCAGGTTTTTTTCTTATTTTAACAACCACGATAGGCGAGAGCTAATGCGCGGTTTTGCATGTATCCTAATCTTTGTTCTGTAAAAACATTGCTTATGTAAAGTGCAGCATAAACAAGTAGCGATGAAATGAGGAAAATCGATGATCAGATCATTGACAGTCATTCCTCAATACAGTCCCGCAACCCTCTTACTAATTGTCGGCTTAGCCCGCGTTCTTTGGACATCGATATATTACCTTCGCGAATTCTCCTCTGGGATTGGCTTTGACCACGTCACCCGCAGCTGTGGATGACTCGATCTCTTGGCCATGCTTTTGGCCCTCCTAAATATTTGGCCCATGTATTGCATAGTCTAGAGGCAATCATAATACAGATTATTACGAGTGAAACGTGTCCTGAAAATACTTTGACGATTTTTAGGAAAGACAACGTGACACAAGAATATTGTGTATTTGGAAACTAGAGACGGTTCGATTTTGTTCTTCAAAATATTAAAATGTTCAAGCGATATCAAGGAAAATTACTCCTGCATTTTAATGTTTAGAAAAAAACGTGTTTTTATGCTGACGAACAATATACGTGCAAAGATCGAATTAATGGCTCTGGAAGATTCTAAATCGCCGCTTTTGATTTTTTTGGTGTTATACCTACATTTTTTTGTGCACATTATATCTGCATTAGTGGCATCTGTTCTGTGTGTTTTTTTTTACTTACATCACAAAAATAATTCAGAATGGGCCAGAAGCCTGTAATAAACTTCAGCTACAGCAAAAAAAAGGGTCTTTCTCGTAGAAAATGGTTCGAAAATTATGATGAGCGCATCGGAGAAGTCTGAAACACACTCCTCATTTCACAATCTGCGTCAGATCTATGCGGGGTTTTTTTATGCTCCCCGCTTCACAAACTATACTACGGCACAGGTGAAAATATTCTAAGAGGAGTCGTTCTATACAACCCTCGCGCACCAGTATGCTACACAATATTCAACATGACTGGAAACACTCTTGACGAGACGGGATTCTATCAACCGCCCGGCGTGTTAATATTTACACTTTCCTTGCGTTGATGAAGATCGCGTTACCACCTCTTGATTTGTGCGCAGAAGCGTCAGCCATGTTGAATATTGTGTAGCATCCCAGTGTGCAACAGGTTGGATGGAACGACTCTTCTTACGAAAAGTTCACCTGTGCTTTAGTATAGTTTGTGAAGCGGGGAGCTTAAAAAAACGAATATTATTTACGTAAATTGTGAAGTTAGAAGTGTAAGATTTCAGACTTGCTCAATGCGCTCGCCGTAATTTTTGAGCCATTTTCCATTAGAAACAACTTTTATTTTTGCACTAGCTGAAGTTTGCAACAGGTCCATTAGTGACTAAAATTGATTTATCAAGTAAACAGACACAAAAAAGGGCTCTGACCGTAGGAGCAGTTTTTGCCTTTAATGGAGCTAGAGCCTTTTTCACCCTTTTTGATGTACGTGATGCCTTGCCTGTTTTGTCCGTCAAATTTGAACTGCTACTCGAGGACGAATAACTGAAACGAGATGAGGAAAAAAATTTTTTTTTTTTTTTATTATTATCATAGTACATCAGTATTAAGGTAAAGATATATAGTGTACGTGACAGTTTCACTTCATTTCGGTATTTGGCGTCAATACGCTTTGTGTAATCAGAAGAACAGCTTTTCCAAACATACATACATACATATGAGTCGCTTTTACAGCGCTCTTCGGCGCTCTGCGACGCCCAATCGCCACAAAGCTCGGTCTTCCCACAGGTCATCAGGGAGTTGACACTCCCTCATCTCACTCAACACCCCCTGTCGCCAACCTCTCACATACATCGGCCAAAAGTTTACTGATGTATGCGGCAAGCAAAGGTAGTGATCAAAAGGCCTCGATTCACGATCAACTTCCTGAACCAATTACCATCCAAGTGTTGGGAATCATCAGACTTATATTCGTTACTTCGCTTCATTTCCAATCGAAAATTTGGCAGACACTTTCTGAGCGGCAAGGAAGGATGAACGGCGGCACTCCATTTGATCAAAATTGGACCAATTTTGATCAAAGAAGACTGTTGCATTGATTGGTGGCCAACAGTCATCAAATGGTCTACATTGATTGGTATTGGTTCGGAATTTGATCATGTATAGAGACCCTATCAGAAACCAAATCTTAGTCATCGTGGACTAACCGCTGTTCTGATTGAAATTTTCGTATGGGCTTAGGTGATTGTTGATAGACGGATATAAACACGCTGGTTTTCACGAGATAGATTTATCGTCAGTAATTCGCTTTCGACAGCCATGTGATCGGGATTTGCTGAAGTTTGTCTCGCAATCGCAACAAATGCGGGCGTTTTTAGAGCGACAGTGTAACAATAAGTTGTGTATCAAACAGGTTGAATTTTTACCCGAGCTTTTAGTAAGTCTAAACTAGTTTGTGTTGATGAAGGTTGAAGCCATGCGCATGAAGTGTTGTGAATGGTTTAAACGATTTAAAAACAGGTGAAAATCGATGGACAATGAGATTCGTGGAGTTGAATCAAGTAAATCAACCTATGAGCTTCATGTAAATCAAAGGTCACGAAATAAATGCAAATCGATCGATAGTCATTAAACCATGCGGAGCTTTTAAGCGAATGGATCATATGTATTTCACGTGTTGGTTCATGCAATTTTAACTCAAAATCTGCACTTCTGTGGAGTTTCTGCGAAAATGATGCCGAGGTTGTTGACCTGAGTACAAAAATGAAAATCGCGTTCCCATCTGTTAACAGCTGTTACTCCGCTCAGATGCTAATGTTTTTGGTAAAATTTTCACCGGTGATGAGGCACATGGGTGTTGAAATAATGACAGTTTCGCAATTTCTCTGCATAGCAAAACACAAAATGTTGGGATATTTTCGCACGAAAATTTCCGAACATTTGCTTTGAAAACAATTATAGAAATTTGGAATACCGCAACTCAGACTCCTGATTTTGTGGTTCCAGCGTTTTTATAGGTTTTATTGAAGCGCTCAGCTGGTAGGGAGTGCTTTTTTTATTTCAATCTGCCTCAAGAAATTTAGTATACCAACGGTGTAAGTCCGCAACCCGGTATCTCGTTTGTAGTGTTTGAAAATCTCCGCTCATATTTTTTTTTTTTTTAAAGTGTACAAATCGACTCCACTCCTTGAAGTTCCTGAGGGACCGCATCGTAAAGAGAAGAAAAATCAATCACGGCAGTTTTTAAGAACTCCCGTCAAGTACTTTTTCATTTAAAAAACAAATTATGACAGGAAGTCTGCAACGTCCTTTATACCCAGGTACATGGTTGTGGACCTACACCGTCGATATATACTAGTGGCAATACGTTCAAATGGCGAACTGGCTCAAAATCAAGTTGGCGGATGGGGGCCTTACATATTTACAACAGATTTTTCTGATATACCTTTACCTAATATTTCTGATATTAAAGAGCGGAAGACAGCAATCGTTTTACTACACAATTTTTATGGTTGAAATTTTAGTGAGACGAATTTTTTCCCTCAAGGTTGCTCATCTTCCTTGAGGGACTTAAAAACGCGCCTATACATAGAAAACAGCCGAGTAGTCTAATACGTCCGTATTGAAGCTTTCCCCGCTCCTATAAAATTCAAATCATACAAGCGCTTAAATAACGACAGTATAAATTGTTTCATGCTTCAGTCAATCTAAGAGTTCAATGCAATTAATTCCTACCTTATTGAAGGATTTCGTTTGAGCTTCTTTTTAATTGTTCTGGCAATTTTGTGTCTTAAAGTTTCGCTACGGTCCAAATTTTTAAAGTTATTTCCGTCATTCCTTACGTGCAAAATTTGCTCAGGATGATCTGATTTTACAATGCTTTGGATTCCATTTCGTGTTAAGGCAAGGGCTTTCTTTCCAGTCCATATCTTGTCTTCCAGCAGCTCATCTCTTTCCTCACCCTACAAAAAATTACCCGTTTTAACTCTGAAAAAAGGGCCTCTCTGCCTGAAGCAGGATGGAATTTAATGAGTCAATTGCGTATCGTGGAAATGGTTTTTTTTTTTTTTTTTTTTTTTTTTTTTTTTTTTTTTTTTGCGACCATGCCGGAGAATTAGTCGAACAGATATAAAGTCGGCTAAAATGCCAAGTGATACTTATTAGTAGAGATATTTTCCACGGAGAAATAAGTTCATTGGACACAGACACTGCAATACGGGTGCCAGTTCTAAACATAGAGATCGAACTATTTGTTTTTTCGAAGCGAAATTTCAGTTCGTAAGATCGGTCATTCGGTTTTTGAGATCAAAATCTTCAAATGAAGCGAACCAATAGAAGAAGTTCGTTCACAAGAATCGAAGATTCGCCTGGGAACCGAGAAGTTGCCTCCTTAAGCTAAGCATAGTTATCGAATATGGAATCCATCGATATAGAACTTCAGACGTACAGCTCACATGATCGAACTTCATATTTTTTCAGTGTAATATGCTGTAGGCACCACATAGGTCTCTTACAGAACGTTAAAAATTGGGATTCATTCCGTTTATTGCCCCAAATGAAGATTATGATTTACAAAAAAATTAGCTGAACTGATTGTGAGTGCGAAATCCTATCAACAACAACAGAGAGGGAGAAAATTAATTTTCCTCGTCATGCATCATCAGGCAACAGTGGTACAATTAGGCACGATCTGTTCTATTGACGTCATTAGTTTCGCAGTCACATAACTTTTCGGTTACGTAGTAGTATTATGATTTTCTATCACCACCTTCTATTAATATTTGAGGAGATCACGCAACCTTTTGGAGCATGAGACTTTACGACTGCATGCAGATGTATTTTGGTAGTCACCTTTTCTGTTGTAGTTCACCCGTAATACAGCTGAGAGAGATTATGGCAACGCCGGGCATATTGCCGAGCAAAATTGTAACAGCGCTTTCACAATGTTATTTTCCTCCCCAATTACTACTCATATTGCTGGGCAACTTTGCGGCAAAATTCTGGTTTGATATATACTTATTCATGAAAAGAGTATTATTCAGTACCGAAATTTGAAAACTCTGTAAGAAATTAATTTTAAAAATTGAAGGTTTCCTGGTTCCCGACGTAAATAGCCTGGTTGCTGATCGTCGTAAATTAAATAACTAACTATCTTGCCAAGAATGAATCTCAAATTTTGAGAAGATAAGTTTTTCACTTTGTTTACACAATTTTAGAATTGGAATGTCAATTTACTAACTGTAATAGAGAATACCAAGTCAGATCGGGCTTCATTCAGTGGTGTTGGATTTGTCAGAAATATCGTGTCATCAATGTATCCACCACGCACGGAGAGCAACTGTGGACAGAATATT